TTGTTCTGCATACATATGTGAGAAATTTGAAACCAGTAAACCAATTTACAGCAAGACATCCGGTGCAACTTTTATTGCATTTTTGTCCAATTGTTTTTCGACATCTTTTACGGATAAACCAATATCCGACTTGTTCCATCGACAAGCTTGCGTGGGACAAAATTTCGCAGTGTCTTTTTTCGAAAGGCCGAATCACTTTGCCACGCACAATTCGGTTCTTTTAAAACTTCAAAAGTTATGCGCTCCTGATTGACCGATAAAGTGTTCGTTCATTTTGAACGAGAAAGCTAAGCCGCAAGGAATACCAATCAGAAATTCTGACTTTTTCCATGGTAAAAGGTCGCATTTTTGGTGTGAGATAGCCACCATAAGACCAATCATTAAACCTTCACAACTGAATGGATCCGGCAACATCAAAAGGAATTGATACAGTAGTTATTAACGAGGATAAATGTTTATTGAAAAAATGTAAAATCCTGACATTTAACAACTGTAGATATTTTTATTACTGCCACAGTAATGCTTCAATCTAAAATTCGATTTGTATGTACAAACGAATACAACCGATGTGGGTGTTAGCGGCATTGAATGTTTTGAGGCTATGCAACTTTTCGCAGTGTGGACAGACCCGAGTTTGTAAGCAGTGGAACTCACACAAACCGCGAGGGAACGAAATATTGTGCTCCCTAGAAAAAAATTGGTATTTGTAAGTCACACCAAATATCTTGTGACAAGTCAATATAAATAGATTATTGTATAATAAATTTGAAAACTTGTAATTGCAATGGTCTTTTTCATAGAATGCTGCGTGAAGTATGGAGTAGTTTGCTCACTCGATTTCAGCTTGCCTGCCCATCCCTTCAACTGAGAAGAAAGCCCTTGGAAAAGTCGTAAAGACAAGTTTATTAATTGAACCTTCGACTCACTTTATTTGGTTTGGAATTTGCGCTTAAAAACTGATGCTACTAGTGCTAACCTACCAGAATTACCGTCAATAAGCGGTTTGAAACAACAGGCTGAAACAGCCTACTTGTCATTCAATCCATCAATGTTCTCTCATTTGTTTTCTTGTTGATCAGGCCTACATCACACATACATTGCGCTATCTCCGTCGGACCTGCTTCTGTATTCCGTTAACTCTGCTCCTGGGCAGCTGCCTGGTCAACCTACTCCTTGGTTTGGGTCGCGTAGTTTATCGAAAAAATTGGCTAGAGGATATATTGGCCGGTTGGGCTTTGGGGCTGATTGTAGCTGCATACGTGGTAAGTGCGCAAAGTAGGAACGTTCCCATTTCAATTGAACACGATTTTCCAATAGTTATTCTGTCTTAGCCGTAAAACAATCATAGGAAAGCAGCACACTCTAATCTCTGAAATATGTCACTGTTCCACTGTTCCTATTTTAGTTGGTAATTTATCTTGTTGTGCTCGACGAAGAAAAGATCGAAAAATTGCATTATTAAGTACAAACCCGCTGTTTACTTTACAAACGCGAACAATGAATTTGTAATGACTGCATAGTAAGCTGTCTTCAACAGTAGGTCATTTTCACTCATTTTAAAGTACTGTGGATTTATTATGGTCGATTAAAACTGGCAAAAGGTGAAAAATATGAGCATCATATACCGTAATCTTTATTAATTATCTGTTACTAGAAGCAACAAATGTGAACTTGCATGAGTAAAGTGACGTGAACAACATCAAAGAAAGGCCTTCTTTTTGCCTCCAATCAATAATAAATAGAAAACATTTGTATGAAGAAGAATCGATCAAGAGCAAAAGGAGATCAATAAAATTGCCCGACAACGGTGAAGTATCATCCTGACTCAAATTCCTATGTCTCTGTGATCACTACGTATTCGGTAAAATAAGTGACTCCTTATTTTATGATTATTATTGGCATCATTAATAGTAGTAGTAGTCGTAGTCGTAGTGTTGAGAGGTATATCTGTGATGCTCGATTTGAGAGGATGCTGGAGGATTTTCACGACATCTGCCTCTACTGAATAGATGGAGAAACTATCGAGGTGCTTGATCACAGCTCAAGGAACTACTGGTCTACCGTTGCAGATTAATTTAACCCCCTTTCCCTTGATTAATAGCGATGTTTTAGTCAATGACTTTCCTCCGATCGGCACTGTCTTCGACAATTATATCACTAGTAGCAGTAATAGTAGTAAAATTGGTAGTATTAGTATTAGTAGTGGTAGTAATAGTAGTGCCAACGTTAGAATTCCTGAGGCGAATTGTTTATTACAAACTAGCGTTAGGGTATGGATAATTTGGCGTACATTGAGCGAGATATCTCATTTTGAACATGTCTTCGGAATTCCCGGTAGCACATAGGGTCATGAATTGAACAGGCCGTAGTTATCGATTCACTGTAAGGGGTCTTGTTCATTGGAAACCGTTGGAAGAAACCGCCAACCGCACTATTTTTCATACTACTCACAAATGTGAGTGGTACCTCACAACAGTATTAGTTGCAATAGTAGTAATAGTAACAGTAGTAGAAGCAGTAGTTGTATGTTTTCATACTTGGGGTTCATCTGAATTGTGTTGGAAATTGTAAAATACCAGGAGCCAGAAAGCGGCGGGGGCTCAGAATGGTATTCGTCATTTGTATATGCTATTCTCACAGTCTGTTAAACGGATCATTATTTAAAGTCTAGTAGCTCGTTAATACCAGACGAAAATTTACAACCGAAAGAAATAACATAAACAGAGATAAGTTTTCAGGTGGAAAGTGAACAATATCAGCATGGTGTATTTTACTTCGTTTTGCTCCGTTATACACAACGTCGACACATATGCTAGGATTTTTCGCAACCATGTTAATACTACTAATGAGTACAATATAGAAAGTTTCGGAAAAGGTTTATTCTCAGAAAGCCAGGAGTAAGCCTTGAGTGATCTGCGATATTAGAAACCAAATTTTTAGCAAGAAAATATGATTGTACAGCCAAAACGAGCACGTTTTTCAATCAGTTAATCCAATGGAACATCAATTTCGTTCACATGTGATCTCCTCTTGACTTCAGAGACACTTTAAAACTGGATGATGTCCTATCGGAAGTGGGGCTTCTTTCGATCCATCGAATCAGTTAAATCCTCTGAACTTAGAAGGATGTCAGTAATTCTGTAATTTAGAGATGTCACTACATATAAGTCACACAAAACTTCTATATCACGTGTATTTCTATTCTCTAGCTGTACCGTGCCCTCAAAAAGAGGAACAATGGGATTCGAGTAGTCAGTAATGCGGAACTGCTAAAACAATTGCATCGTATTCAACGTATGTTACATTCAAATCAAGAATACCGTCAAAATGAGGTACGTTATCTTGTTCGTTATCTTGTCCGAACATGTTCCCGGATAGTGAACACGCAAAGCAGTGGTTCCCCGGTATTTGGTAAATAACACTACCAGCTATTGAGTGTTCAAGATCATGAACCACTATTCTTTTTCCAGGTCAATAAAACTCAACGCAGTCCTTATCTTGGAGGTTGAGTGATGATAATTGCAAAAAAACATGAGAATAGTGGGTTTACCAAAACGATAAACATCAAAAGTAGCAATACTTTCTGCGATCTACATGTGTTAAGAAAATAGGAGGGATTTCGCACATTCATGCAGTCAATAAGACTGAAAAGAAACGGATGTAATTTTGTCCTAATATTGGAACCCCGGGGACCGGTGCGCTCACAACAGCCACTTGAACAAAACAGCACACATCTGCCAACCAACTGTCGTTCCCAATCTCAAAAGGCATCCACAACTTGGATCTTGAAAACTAGTATAAATCAGCGTGATCGTGAAACATCTACACAATTCTCTAGGTGGTATAAAACCGAGAATGGTTGTGAAGACCTTGAGATTTTAGTGACTACATAGACCTCCAAACTAACCTTCCCTGTGTTCATTCAAGAATGTATTATTTATATACGTTTGTGTTCTGCATTGAACGTCGGTTAAGGAGGAGTAAACGATATCACTGTCCAGCATTGACAGTTTTACAAGAGAGGTAAATCTGCATGAAAGTGAACCATGTACACTTTCCGCATGGTGCTAATACAACCACGCCTGTTGACCAATTAGTGGAATTAATATCACCAAGCCTCTCTTAGAATGATGCTGATTAGGTGGTTGTAACCCCGAGCATTATATTTTGTTCTGCATCCACGGTTTCTTATCCATATGAGGTTCATCGTCAGGCCAGTTTCAAGTCAACCATTCTGTTGATCATCTGCATTTCATTGTTCTCTAGTGCATGGGGTGCCAATATCCGTCAATTGAAAATGATTACTCAATAGCATATGCATATTTGAGGTGAATATCATAATTGTGACTCAAATTTGACAATTTTAGTGATAACTAAACTACAACCTGTTCGGAGCGATTGCTTAGAACATTACTACCTCACCAACAACATCTCTGGTGGTAAAATCAACTGCGGAGAAAGCAACCACAGAGAATATACGGGAACAGCGTATTTACTGATGTGGTCATAACAACAAAAATAATACCCTCCATTATGTTGCGAATAGTTCTTTGAACTACAACGAACTACAACGAAGACTGTTCAGGAAAGAGCTATTGCCGATGGAGACTGCAATTGTTAAACGAAAAGCTACGGCAAGGTTCAAACTGGTATGCTATCAGATACTGCGCTATCGGTGAATCACTACACAATCCATCACATTCTTTGGAGCCAAATGTAATTAAAAATAACCCTGTCGAGTTACGCAGACGTAGGCAAAACATCAGCTCCAAAGTAACCTTCAACCAATGGATGGGAGGCTGCCAATTCACGCTGTGAACTTCATACCGCATATAGATCAGTACAAGCATAAAAAGTGGGAACGGTGGCTATTTCGGGTGTGGATTGTGGATGCTGCAATATCACCGGGTTTATCGTGACAGTGAAGCTCACATAAAAGTACCAGCCTAAATCAACAATAAATATTGCTGCAGACGCCACGAGCGCGCTGACTCGTGCTTATCTGTATCCCAGTTCACTGGCTGGATAAAAATTATAAAATTTCAAGTCCTATTTCGTTTAATATAATGAGGTACTCAGTTTTGAAGAAGAGGGTATGATGCAGCTAAATAGGTGCTGCATAATCCTTCATTTTTGTTGCTTATTGGTTTCAGTTCAGGTCAGATTAGTATGGTTAAGATTACCAATGGGCCTATACGGCTTGATGCATATGCACTCAGTCGCTCCATCCAATTTGGCGACTGATCAACCTAGGAGATTACGTTGACCCGTGTCTACAGTACAGCGAAGTTGTTTGGAGGACAGACCCAGCTCGGGAGAGGCAATTTGCGGTGACCAAGGAATTGACTGTCTAACTACTGTCCTATTGGGCCTCATACATGGTCCGCCACTCCAAAACCCAGATCGTTCGTTCTCATGAATGAACAACCGGTATTTGTACAAAAGGCGTTCAGTCTTTAACAGTTGCACTTTAAACGATATGTATACAATTTCCCATCAAGCTTTAGCCATAAGTAGTAGTTATTTAACCACAATCCGTAGTTCTCTAGCCTGCACGCACAGTCTTTATTCGTACAGCTGTAAAAAAAGCCTATCAAACAATATCGGAATATTCTGTTGCCAACGCGTGTGGAAACACTTTATTTACTACAACTGTTGATATTATGAGGTTCGGTTCAGTGGGGTGAAAGGTCAAAACTCATTGTTCACTGACCGACGTGGAAGCTATGATCTATTTGTGTGACTCAAATGAGTTGGAAAACGGTAGTTGATGACGTTGTTCCTCTAGCAACGTCGGCTAAATCCCGCAGAATTAGGTGACCTATGAAACTCAATTGTTTTGCAGTGTTTGTGATCGAAAACATAAAACCAATGGCCAGGCTTTCGGAAAGAATGTGCTTGTTCACAATGCATTCTGTCAAAACACATTTCTGCTCATAGGTGATAATGATGATGCATGAAATGCTCGGGACAAACACGATTCTGTTATACCCGAAATGAAATTAATTGAGCATAAATGTGTTTTGACATGCGTATCCTGGGTGCATGAACCTGGAAGTTCCTACGTGGTTCCCAAATTTCCATCCTGAACAAACCAGATCATTCGCTTATCATAGCAAAACTTGACATCTACCATAATAGAAGGATGTAGTGGAACTCAACCATATCTCGGAAATTAATTTTTAAAAATCGACGTTCTTCGGTTTCCCACAGCAAACGTATGATGAAAATAATGCAAAAGGGTTTACTGTCAAGAGGATAAAAAGGGGTGTGATGAACATCGTAAGTCAGGAAGTTCTGCCACCGTCCAACAATCGGAATGACGGCAAAAATGTGAATGTATCAGTCATTATGCAAGCTACCCATAGTAGCAGTCTCAAACTGATTTTGCGCCCGATTTTTGACATATACCTAGAATAAGAGAAATTACTTCGCGGTAAAACTGGTATTTTGTGTAAAGCAAACGACGTGAATTGTTCGAAACTGCGTCAGGGAGTGGGGAGCAGCAAGCTAATGGAAATTGGCTCCTGAATTCCAAATTATAGGATTTTTCGTAAAATAATTTATGATGAGTATAATAACCCTGAAAATGCAGTTATGGTCCATACTCCCTCATCCTCAGTTATTCTATTACATTTACGATGAGTAAACTTATAAAACATAATGTTTCTGTATCATTTGTATCATCATATCATTTAGCAAATCTAACCAACCTCGTATGGGATCTTTTGGATGCACTCCTGGAAGTTGAGAGGCAAGTGATGCTTTCTTTCGCTTCCTCTGGCTCTCTCCCTCTCTGACTGTGTGCAATCATTTCTGCTCTACCTTCATATGGAAACTGAATGCATGACGCTTTCTGATCGAGAACTACGCAAACCAGTAACTTGTTTGAATCACTACTTGAACACGAAATAGGTCACAACTGCATGACACTAAAGCAGAATGGAAAATGGAAACGCAAGAATAAATGTAATTTTTTCCCAAATGTTTTGATTTCATCAGTCCTTAGTTGATCGAAATTCCATTTTTCTCTATCGTTTCAGATGAAGCTGATGAAATACCTTTAACCGCTCACAAGGTAGGTTTGCATTCACCGCATCTAATTTGTTATCCACGATATTATCCACGTGTATGCACAACACCGGGTATCATCATGTAGAACGCGATCCTCAATAGCCCACTATCAGTTGGATTGCCTTCAGCGACTCGGGATTCGATTGCAGTGGTAATTCAATCCAGTGGAACAACTTGCAAAACCTCAGTTTTCACCTAGTTGCATTCTTCTAACTTGAAAGGAAATTCTTGAAGCTTGTACCAAAGATGTTCGATCATAAAACTGATCGGGAGGCTGACAAAATTTAGACGTTGGCGAATAGATTATATAAATTGATGTTGGAGTGGGATAATTTCATTAAATCATACTTATGATTCGCAACATTATATTATAGTACCCTACGATATTGATCACGTCGGTATCTTACCTAAACCAAGCCATTTAAATGAAGACCTGAAAAACATTCCTTCTCTAACGTTTGGGTCTCCGATTATCACACAAAGAATGTTATCTGGTCAATAGTCAGTGCCATTATTTTATCCCCTGTGTTTATTTTCCCGATGATGGTAACAGCAATCAATTTATGGTTTCTTCTTCCAAAGTTATAATATGAAAAACTAGCTAACTGCTTGTTGTGTTTTTAACGAGGCTCGTCTTCACAGATTCAGTTGAACAAGTTAAACTCCGCGAAACACAGCTGAAACCACCGAACGTACCTCTTAAGTGGATCACCGAGCAGAGTCATAGAAACCTTAATATTCGCTTCCATCCCGTAAATCAAACTGCCGTTAGCGATACGATGCCAACCAAAACCAGACAGCCATGCTTCCGTGATCATTTTGTAGCTGAGTTCTGATAAGGTGATCTAGATAAAACGCTGTCTTAAAGATAAGCTGGGTTACAACCCGTGCGGGAATAAAAGGAGCCCTATCACTCAATAAGGGTCAGAGAATCAGCCTGGTGACCGCAATGAAAGTTCCCATAAGTCTTATTCACAAAATGAAGTGGAACTTCTCTCAACAGTACCGTGTGACAAGCGGGTCGCCCAATTCGCAGCTATCACCGCATCGGGCTGACCAAGAGGCTTTTGGATAATTTGTTCTGATCTACAGGACCACACATATAATATAGTAATAATATAGTAATCCAGTCCCAACAACAAACCACAAAACCAATTCTCGGCCTCAAGCCCTCAAACACAACTGATCACCTGGGAGCACCCGGTGAGTCGGCGAACGGAATACATAAAAGGCCACTGGAATGTCCCCGTTAATTTGTAAACATACGGATTACTACATTTTTTGAATGGTATCCGTTTCACTTACCTTGGCCTAGCCGTCAGACCACCGCGAGCAAAACGCTTCTCGTCAGTTGCCTGACTTGACGATTATCAATTGTGAGTTATTAGACATACTGTACACAAATGCACTTTGGTTCGCAAACGGATAGACTGCTCCGAGACAGAATGAAGCATTCACGAATGTTGATTAATATCATCTTTTCCTTTTCATTGAATCAGGACTGCTTTACGGAATCAACAACTGATTTACCATCATTACCACAACCATGGTGACAAGCTTCAGCAATATTCCAGTTCACTCTCTGGTTTGCATCCCCTACCTGATATCACCCGATCCAATTCTCGAAGAACGTTTCTTTCTTGATGGATTGTGTCTATCTATTTATCATTGTCTGGACCACAGCAGTGGCATAATACCATTCAATCCGGTGTTTACCATCGGTTATTGTGACTGATTTCTGATGATTGATTCCACTTGACCGTGCCGTTTGCTGTCAACAGTTGTGCTTTCCATCCAGAAACGGATAAACAAAAGGCAGGCAAAAATCACCGGAAGAGTTTTAATTGTTTCTGTTCTCTTGAAAATTTGCAATCTGTTTGGATTCAGTTTTTGTCTTATTGTCCAACCTTGCCCACTATCTTCCTCTCTCAGCACGAATACTCCCAAAGAAGATTACCTTCTTTTGTTTATTTTTCTTTTCATTTAATGGATTTGATCTGCTCGAATTCGATCCCCATATTTCGTTTCGTTTCTACTGAGTAATTCTGGTTCATTCACCCTCTAGTCGTGTTCGTCTTGAATTTGAACTCCCTTTTTGTTTCACTTTTTCCGTTCTTATGTATTATTAGATTGCTCATCCGAGTCACAGTCTAGAGATTATTTCGCAAGCCATCCAGGTAAGTGAATTGGACGCTAAGTCGCTCCAAATCCTTTGTGAAAACGACGGTCGTGTGAGGC